AACACCTCTATGCGAATAAACTAGAAAATCTAGAAGAAATGGATAAATTCCTGGACACATCTACCCTCCCAAGACTAAGAAGAAGTTGAATTCCTGAATAGACCAATAACAGGTTCTGAAATTGAGGCAATAATTAATAGCCTACCAACCAAAAAAAGTACAGGACCAGATGCATTCACAGTCGAATTCTACCACAGGTACAAAGAGGAATTGGTGCCATTTCTTCTGAAACTATTCCAATCAATAGAAAAAGAGGGAATTCTCCCTAATTCATTTTATGAGGCCAACATCATTCTGATACCAAAGCCTGGCAGAGACAATAAAAAAAGAGAATTTTAGACCAATATACCTGATGAACATTGGTGCAAAAATCCTCAATAAAATACTGGCATACCAAATCCAGCAACAATCAAAAAGCTTATCCACCATGATCAAGTGGGCTTCATCCCTCAGATGCAAGGCTGGTTCAACATATGCACATCAATAAATGTAATCCAGCATATAAACAGAATCAAAGACAAAAGCCACATGATTGTCTCAATAGACGCAGAAAAGGCCTTTGACAAAATTCAACAGCCCTTCATGCTAAAAACTCTCAATAAATTCGGTATTGATGGGACATATCTCAAAATATTAAGAGCTATTTATGACAAACCCACAGCCAATATCATACTGAATGGGCAAAAACTGGAAACATTTCCTTTAAAAACTGGCACAAGACAGGGATGCCCTCTCTCACCACTCCTATTCAACATAGTGTTGGAAGTTCTGGCCAAGGCAATCAGGCAAAAGAAAGAAATAAAGGGAATTCAATTAGGAAAACAGGAAGTCATATTGCCCCTGTTTGTAGATGACATGATTGTATATTTAGAAAACTCCATCGCTCAGCCCAAAATCTCCTTAAGCTGATAAGCAACTTCAGCAAAATCTCAGGATACAAAATTGATGTGCAAAAATCACAAGCATTCTTATACACCAATAACAGACAGACAGAGAGCCCAATCATGAGTGAACTCCCATTCACAATAGCTTCAAAGAGAATAAAATATCTAGGAACCCAACTTACAAGGGATGTGAAGGACCTCTTCAAGGAGAACTACAAACCACTGCTCAGTGAAATAAAAGAGGACACAAACAAATGGAAGAACATACCATGCTCATGGATAGGAAGAATCAATATCATGAAAATGGCCATACTGCCCAAGGTAATTTATAGATTAAATGCCATCCCCATTAAGCTACCATTGACTTTCTTCACAGAATTGGAAAAAACTCCTTTAAAGTTCATATGGAACCAAAAAAGAGCCCACATTGCCAAGACAATCCTAAGTCAAAAGAACAAAGCTGGAGGTATCACAGTACCTGACTTCAAACTATACTACAAGGCTACAGTAACCAAAACAGCATGGTACTGGTACCAAAACAG